AAGCCCCCAAGCACGAACCAAAGACAAGAATTTAACATTAAGTCGAATGCGAACTTTAACAAAATGTGCCTTAAATGCAGTTTTTTTATACCCTTACAAAGGGTATTAAGAGTTGGTCAAAGCGCAGACAAACAGACATCTGCAATTCCATAAAGTATACATATTATTGGTCAACATCCGAGTCTCTTTCCATAGAAAATGGATCAAAAAATTAAATTTTGATAAACTTTTCGATTTTCAAGACATCTTGATCAAGCTCAGCAATTACGATCCTCCTCTGAATGCTTCTAGCTTATCTGTCAAGCCGTAAGCCATATCTCAGCAAGGGTATTTTACCTTCGGCTTGCCTAAATTTGCCGTTCTTTTTCTTTTGTATAAGTTTTTGGGAACACGAAACACATGAATGTATGTCAGTCCGCAGCTCGACGTAGTTGCGTGTAAAATACACGAGCAGCATTTTCAATGTCATTAAAATAAATTTGCTTTTAAATGCACTTCGCAGAGGGGAGAGAACTGGCAATGGAGCCGGGCTCTGGGTCTGGCCATGCCCTGCGGAAGTGCGAGCTAACAAATCGCTGCCTGGCTACTTGTCTTAAGACGGCAGCCAAGCATTTGCTGCCGCAGTTAACGCATAAACAGCAAAGCTCCAGGCAACAAAACCGAATAAAAACAAATAAAAGAAAAATGTAAGAATAAGTTGATAAATGGCGCCTGACATTTGCACGAAGAGTTGAGCTTAATTTGTACCTTTAATCATATTGGCTTGGTTAATAATATAGGGCTGTCTGCCGTGCGGGCCACTGATTCATTGGCTGGTAATTAGGCGGCTGACGCGGCGTATACGTCATCTTAATTGAAATGAAAATGCGAGCAACAAGTTTCTCGCTCAAATAACCTTAGAATAAATTGCCTCACGTTTCCGTCAAACACACACAAGCACACGCACACACACACACGGGCACACTCCCCAACTAGTTTGGCTGGCTCTCGAGCTTTTGTATGTGTCTGTGTGTGTGTGTGTGTGCGTTTACTCAGTGCCATAAACAAAAGGCTGTTGCTCAAGTCGAACAAAAATTCAAATTCAAATATTTTTTTAGACTGCGTTTTCCCCATTTACGTAGCAACAAACAACAACATCAACAACAAGAAACAACGTCAAGCAAAACAACAATGGCTCATTGTATAAAATATGAAACTGGCTCGCAGCAGACAACGCACGTGAGCATCACATGCCCCAACATCTATGCGAGGACAGCCTTAGATACAGATACGTACCTTTATACATCTGCATATTCCAGTTGTTGTTGTTGTTGTTTTTTACATCTACTTTATGATTATGAAACCGAGCTTAAGCCCAATTGTTGATTGACTTGCGGGAAACAGCAATAGCTGAAAATAATAAAAATAAAGAAACACAACACAACACAAAGCTTCGACTCTGCTTGATTTGTATTTGGATTTTGGGTGTGTAATTCATTTACTAACTTGCTGACCGGCTGGCTAAACAACGTAGCTAATGATGAGGTCATAAACAAATTTTGATTGTAACGCGCAAGGGCTTAATAAAGCAAGCTGAAAGCGGCGGCATGTTGAGCTTTAAGCTAGAAATATTGTGGTCAAGCTAAATAAAGGCCAGAGAAAATACTAAAGTTTAGCTAACTTAGGGCTTAAGTTAAGTGGGAAAAATAATAAAGAAACTTAAAGTTTACTTTAAGATAGAAATCTAACTTAAAGCTCACTTAAATTGTAGTTAAGCTAACTGAAAGCTTACTTAAAGCAAGAAAAAATGCAACTAAGCTTACATAAAGCTAACTTTAAGTTAAAACTTAAAACAATTCTAGTCAAGCTAACTTAAAGCTTACATAAAGCTAAAAAACTTGCAAAGTTATTTTAAAGCTTACGTTAAGCTGGAAAAATACTAATTAAACTAACTAAAAGCTTGCGAATGCTCCCAAGTATCCACTTAATATTTGAAAAAAATAGATTAATTATTTATTATGCACCAACTTTTATAGTCAATTTCATTGAAAAGTTTATGTGCTTGAACTTAGAGGTTAAATATTTTTAGAAACTGCATAAAAAGTGTGCCCACATTTTGTTGTTGTTAGCAAAAAACACAATCGAGAAACCTTAGGCATGTTAGGGCCACATTGGAATGAGATGTTGTCGCTGCGCATCCGTTAGATACATTGAGGCTCGCGCGCTCTTCGAGATACAACTACACACACGCACACACACACATACAAGACGCTTACTGACAAACGTACTGACAAGCCACACGGAACAGATACGCGCAGCTGAGTTGGCATTGAGACTGGCTATCTGCGGCTGTAGCTGTATCTGTAGCTATGTCTGTATCTGTATCTGTGTATCTGTACATTTGTGCATTTGTGTATCTCATAGTTAGCGCACGCCCCAGTGCAGTGCAACAACTGCAAACGTACGAGTATTTAGCGATTATTAGTTAAAAAGCTATAGCAGATAGAGAACAGGCGGGCAAAAAAAAATAAATAAAAATACAAAACAAAACAACTTGCGAGTGTAGGAAGTAGATACGAGGAATGAGCGCAAGCAAAAGGCAAAATACAAGCGACAAAGAAAGAGAGAGATACGTAGAGATAGATAGAGGAGGTAATGTAGAAATCGCAGTTCGAGGCCGATGCCGGTCTCAGTCGTGGAACGTGCGTATGTATCTCACAGATACATCTACATATAGTACAACATGCAGCGGCATTTATTTAACTACACATGTATCAATGACATCTATCAATAATAATTTTATGTATCTACTTGACTTATGACGCAATTAAGCAGCAACTATTCCAATGGCGAGCAATCTATATAATTAGGCGAAAAGCGTCAGAATTGTGAGAATTGAACGCCCCATCAACATAGTAGCATATAGTATGTTTATCTAACCCTGAACATGCAACGCACATTGCTTTTCGTTTTTGGTCTATCGCATTCTTTCACGAATTTAATGCTAAACAAATTTTTCATTACGACATCGATGGCATCGTCATTGGCATCGCCATCGCCATCGGCATCGGCATCGAAATCGAGCGATTCTATAAATGCCCCAAACGATGTTTCACACTCCAATCGTGCGGGCTGCTCGTCTCTCGAGTGACGTAATTTTGTTGGGGCTGTAGTCGGAGACGGATGATTTTGGAGCATAGCTTCGCAGCGCTGAACGTGAGCCCCGATGAGTTCAGTTGTTTTCGCAGAAGCAAACAGTTGCCCCATACAAAAGTGTCTTTAACCAATTGTTCATTATGTTAACAATTTATATATAAAACAGATATTTCACAGGAATGGAGGCTGACCCGGTTATTTATTCATGGAATGGAATATCTTTAAAAATAATGATATAATTGAAAAAAATTTGTGATCAGCCAACAATTGAGAATATTTAGGTTTAGCTTAACTAAGACCACCTTTTATAATAATAATTATAATAATAAAAATAATTATAGCAATAATAATAACCATAACAATAATAATACAAATAACAATAATAATATTAATAATAATAATCATAATAATAATAATAATAATAATAATAATAATAAAAATAATAATAATAAAAATAATGACAATACAAATAATATTAATAATAATAATAATAATAATAATAATAATACTAATAATAATAATCAAATAACAATAATAATAATAATAAAAATAAATATAGTTACAATAATATTAGTAAAATGAACATTAATATTAGTCATAATAATATTATTATTTATATTATTTTATATATTATTTTATATATTATTTTATTTAAAAAATTGAGTTTTTCCCTTTCTTCTCTTCTACATATTTTCCTTAAAATATATAAATTAATACCTAATGTTTTCTATAGAATGATCGCAGAACCAACTTTGAAATAAGACGGGGCAGCTTTTATGACAAAAGTTGAATTTGTTGGGCTCTTATGTTTCATATAGCACACGATGATGTCGACAACTGGAGTATAGCAATTTGTTTGGTTTGCCTTTGGATTTGGGCCATCCCCGGGGCAGCGGAAGAAGAAGGCCACACTCAGTTAGCCGCGTTAACCCAGTTACGTGACTCTGAAACGCGAAATGCGACCCCCAAAACCAATTTGCCGTGTCACAAAGACATAGAAAGAGCGAATGCACATAAGAGCACAAAAACATATACATAATGTGCATGCTATGCGCCGCCATGCGTTGTTACGATACATAGATTCATAGTTACATAAATTCATAGCTTCATAGATTCAAAGATACATAGACACATAGAGATGCACAGATACGTAGATACATATATACATAGATGCATAGATACATGTTTAAGTATGTGGAGCGCCCCCCAACATTTTAGCTGTGACTCTCGCTGGGGCTGGGGCTGTGGCTGGGGCTGACCTTGACACACTTTTTAACGCACGCCGCCAGCGCCAGCTGCACAGTTGTCATGTCGTGGGCGGACACAACGTGCAACCATGTGGAGGCACACAAATCAAATAACAGAAGCTTGCCTCTTTTTTTAAATGTTTCGATTGAGCTAATTAGCCAAGAAAACAGTTCAAGCGCACAAAGTGAAATTGGCTTCTATCGCATGCAAATTGTCCCGAGCAAATACAATTTTAAGCTCTAGAGTATAATATGATTAAATTCTGCTTTGAATATTGCATCTTAATTATCTCATCTTTTCAGATATCAAAAAAAAGAGTCAAATACTCTTTTTATAGGGATTTCCCATATGCTCTTAAAGGAAATCTTGGCCTTAATTAAACATTATTTTAATTGAGATATAAATGAATACATTTATCTGTATTCAAACAGAATTTATAATATTCAATTTCTTGGATCTCAGCTAGATTGAATCTGGCAAATAGACAAATCTCTTTAGATTATAATCTTCCTATATACATTATAAATATACTTGTCTGATTATTGGTCCCACCCAGAATCCTATCGGATCACTCTAGGATTAGGTTGGATTTAGTTGGTTTGTAGCTTGAGACTCACCTCATTTCCAGCTGGGGTTATCTTGACGACCACCTCATCTTTGGCGACATCGTGCAGGACCACGTCGCCGCTCTGCTCGCGTCCATTGTAGGTGAGAAAGATGCGCTGTCCGGGCTGGAGCTGTATGCTCATAATGGATCGAAAGCCGGGCCCGATAAGATCCGATTCGCGAAACTCCTTTGTCATGGCGTTGCGGCGCAATGCCTGAGCCGGACTGATGTGCACATTGGCGGCGGCAGCGGCGCGTCGCGTCTCCACAATAACCGATTCCGAGGACCCGGACGCGGACGAGGACACGGACGACGCGGCGGCGACGCCAGACGGCAGCGATTGGGTCTTGAAATCGAAACGGACAATATAGCGCGTGTCCGCGTTCAACTGGGCATCGCCCGGTGCCAGGAAGGTGGGCGGCGGCATTGGCTCCGGCGTGGAGGACATGGATGTTGGCGTTTTAACGTCCTGTATGACGCCCGAGTACCAGAGGCCGTCGGGGCCGGGTGCGCACACTTTGGTGCCAATTATTGAGCGTTTGGCCAAGCGGCGGCTAGTGGACATTTTCGTGTTAATTTTCTGGCCTTTATATACTTATATTTCAACGTTTGTTGGCGTGCAGCGCGCGCGTTTTACTCGCGTTTTTCTAGCGTTTTTTTTGTTTATTTTTTTATTTGATTGTGGCAGTTGCAAAACTTGAAAACACTTTTTACTACGTTTTTTGTTTGCCGTTGTTTTAGTTTGCTTTGTTTAGTTTTTACCATGAATTTAAGACTTGAACTTGGCTTGTTTGGCTGGCAGCAGCATTTTTTGCACTTGACATTTTTGTTGCACGCTCTTCTTCTTTTTCTTTTTTTTTTGTGTATTGCACTTTTTGTTTTTTATTTGTATTTTTTAATTTGAATTTTCAACTTCACTGTATATACTGTATATACACACATATACAGCTGCGCGCACACACGCACGCACACACACACACGCACAAAAACTTTGAGCTTCACTTGGACAACTTGTTGCACACAGTTTGTTTTTGTTTTTTTTTTTTTTTATTTATTTAATAAAAGTATCTTAAGTCTGGCAAACGTTTTTGGTCAATTTGTAAACGTTTATCTTCCTAAGCTCGGATAGTTTTTTGATAATGTTCTTGTGATAGAGCTCCAGGCAGAACGTGACACGCTGGTTCAAATGCTGATTGAACTGTAAACGCTGGACGGGCGTATTCCTATACAACTGGGGATGCAGTGCATCTGGTTTTCCGGCCAGCTTCACATGCTCGCTGTGCGTCTTCTGTTGGGCGTTGCTGCTGTTGCGTTTGTGCCTAAGCATAATCCAATTTTAAGCGTTTTTAACGTCAGCTTGACAGCCAGTTGCCACTGTCACGGAAATTAACAAAATTACGTTTGCAATATTCTTCTTCTTTTGTTTTATTGATGTCACATCAAATGTTTGTTTCAGTTTTTGTTCTCTAATCTGTTGGCTAATCGATATGTTTTATATTGTTCTCTGTTGTTGTTGTTGTTGTTAAATTGCGCTGATTGGCGTTTTATTTTCTATATGCACATAACTACATATGCCTATGTATGTGTGTGTATATGTATGTACATATATATATATATATTTATTGCTTGCTTTGCTTTCACGCTGCTTTCGCTGCCGGTCGTTTCACTTTTTCTTCCAAGTTTTTTTCTTTCGTCTCACACACACAGGCCCAGGCACAGGCACAGGCACACGCACACAGAACACACTAACAAAGCGCAAGAGAGCAAAATGGATGCAATCTGCTGTCCGTTGCTTCTGATGCTGCAGTATTTGTTGGTTGTTATTATGGTTGTAGTTGTAGTTGTTGCTGCTGCTGTTGTTGTTGTTGCTGCTGTAGTTGTTGTTGTTGTTATTGCTAGGGCTTACCCAATGCGTTTTGTTGCCTTCAATTAAGAAGCATTCACACTGTTGTCAATTGTTTTCTGTTCCATATATATTTTATTATTTTGGATTGTTTTGATTGTTCGGGGTTTTTGGCGTCTGCGGTGACGACGAGGGCAGCTTGCAATAAGCGCTTATCGGTCTGTACACGAGAGTTGGCTATCAAAGACTGAGCGAGCGAACGACGAGTTACAGTTACGCGCAGCGAGCAGCACTCACACAAGCACATACTCACACACACACAAGCACAGCGCTCTTTCGCTATCTCTCTTGCTCTGCCTCTCTGTCTGGGGTGTTGCTCTCTGTTGCTGTTGCTTGCTTGGTTTGTTGTATTTACATATATTATGCTTTCGTACGTACCTGCTTTGAAAAACAACATAAATGCAGCTGTGTTTGTGTGTGTGTGTGTGTGTGTGTGTGTGTGTGTATGGCGTGTTTGAGTGTGTGCAAGTTTTTCCCCTGCTGCCAACATAATACGTAAAATACTTGAGAAACATGCTCTTGAAAGCGTCGAAAATGCATTCACCACATACACATACACACACACGCGCGCACATACTTAAAACATAGGCCTCAATTGAGTTAACAGTCGCGGCTATCGAAAAATGTTAGCATCTAGACTAGCTGTTAATTTGTTATGTCGATGTGTCAAGCTACTGGCACTGAAAATGCGTATCTAAGTACATAAAAACATGCTTGTGTATATGCATATAAATTTTAATAAGATATGCCATTATATACAGCCCAGGACAATAAAGAAAATCATTTCTAAATTGGCATTTTCTTCCTCTTTGCCCACCTAATTAACGCCAATTGGTATCAATACGCAGCAGCGCAGTGCGCTTATCAATATGACCAGCCAGTCAGTCAGCGGGTATGTGCATATGTACATATGTGTGTGTCTGTGTATCTGTGTCTCTATGACGCCATCATCGCCTGTTTGCCAGCATAACAGCAAATGTCGACGTCGTCGTTTGTTGCTGCTGCCAACCCCAACCCAAAAAAAACTACGCAGTTAACAAAAAGTTAAACACTTGTCAACATTTTTCACAACGTCAACAGAGCGCCGCATAACTCTGTATTTGTATGCATAGCTGTGCGTGTGTGTGTGAGAGTGTGCATGTTTATGCCTGCTGTGCGCGATACGAACAACAGAGCGAAGAGAGTGGGTGAGAGAGAGAGAGAGAGAGAGAGCAGGAAACGCTGCCAACACGATAACAGCTGTTGTTGGCAGAGCAGCAACAATGTTGCGAAAACAGCTGTTGAGCACAGCAAGCACTCAGCCACATAACAGATGAGAGCACACTGCTTGTGTTTGTATGACTTCCAAGTACTCTAACGCTTAACTTATATGGCTAAAAAATAAATTAATTCCCCTTAGGTTAGTAAGTTTTAGCTACTATTCTTAACAAAAAAATATATGTGATCTGCTATGTATGTTGTATTTTGTATATAGGGAATATCTATTGATAACACCGTAATTTCAGTCTCCTCTTTAATAAATTATACTTAGTTTAAACATATTGTCAAAATATATATGCCATGTTAGTCTTATTCCTATTGCAGGGCATTGCTATAAAAATTGCCGGCCGGTTTTCTGTCAACGTCACAAGTTTAACAGTTGAAGAGAGCACTTTATTTGTGTACTTGTGTGTGGGTGAGAGCGTGATCTTGCTCTCTCCGCTCTCAGCAACTCACAGCTGTTATTATGCTTTTGTTTACATCGGCAACACCGCGATGTTGCTGCTGTTGTTGATGTCGCTGCTGTGAATATTGAACGCGCATACACACATACACACGTGCATACATACATATCTCTGATTTTTGGGGGGCCTCTGTTGTTGCTGTATTATGCTGGCTGTATGTTGTATGCTGTAGCTGTTATATTGGCATTGTTGTTGCCTTTGGAATGACCTCTGTGTAGGCATACCACAGCGACGCCACTGCTGTCAGCATGCGGGGGCTGGCTCGGGGCCGAGGGCTGGGGGCAGAGGCTGGGGCTGTCGTTTTCTGGGCGTACGCTGCCTCGATATCCATCAGCGCTACAGGGGCCAATATGCGCACATAACTACACACATACATACATACATGTACATACGTATTCATGTACAGGCGCATAGATTTATGCTGTGCTCGTTCGTTGTTGTTGTTGTTGTTTTGATATTTTTGGGGTGGATTTCATGCCTAAAGCATTTGAAAACGCCATTTGCGATAGATGTCCAAATGCGTTGCGTAGTTTACGGTGTGGGTCAAAGGGGGACGTTGTCAAACGTTTTTAAGCATATACAACTGGCATATATACATTCAAATATCTGAAGACTGTTAATATGAAATTTTCATTCAAGATTTCACAGATTTTGAGCATTGCCTAGCTGAATAAATTTGCATTTGGACAACCTGTAGCCCGCAATGGCGCCCAACTGCAGAGATGCGCTATCTGCCAAAATCAATTAATCATTTCTTGAGTGGAAATTCCTCAGCCGCAGTTGCTAGCAGCAGCAGCAACAACCACAAATTGTATTCAACGGAGCGTTGCCAGCGCTTGTCGTTGGGCATTACAACAAATACGCAGTTACGAAAACAAAAACAAAAAAAACAAAAAAAAAACGGCAATAGTAACAACAACAGCGCAGCGACTGCCGGTGCAATCTGTGTGTTACAAAATCAAACCAAACGAAGAGAAACGAAAAAAGCAAAACCCAAACAAAGCGTTAGATGGAGCAAGACAACAACAGAAGGCGCGCTCACACGCACACATGCACACACACACACATGAACAAACACTCACTGGCATATTACCAAACTGGAAAATAGGTCAACCAGTCGAGAGGGCAAATCAACAGTCAGCTTGCTCGCTCTAATGCTCTCATAGAGTCAAAGAGAGTCTCTGTAGTGTGTGCGCGTATGTGTGTGTGCTGCGCTTAATATTGTAAGAGCGCACATTTGTCAATTAGAACGGGAACTGCTGTTAGCTAACAGTGTCCTCAATTCGTCTGATTGGAATGAGCGCACGGTGGGCGCTCTCCGGTGGGTGGCTAAATAAGTTTGCCTATGCCAAGCTAGTCCTACTAAGCAGTTCCTTTGCTTGGACTACGAAGTTGTGTATGAATTAATTATAATTATTTGATTAATCTCTTAATTCCTCTGTATATAAGTCGGATATCTGTATTTCTTTTGTAAAATGTTGGTTTGTTGTAACTTTTGTGTTCATCTTGTTATTGTTGCCTTTGTATACATGCTGTGTGTATGTGTGTGTGTGTGTGCGATTTGGTTTCGATTGCCTTCGAAACCGGATTTTCAAAATACTTCCATAATATGTACTCACATGTATCTGTGTGTGTATCTGTGTGTGTGTGTGTGTATATACTTTGGGTATATGATTACATTTTATGCTATTGGGTTTGTTCGCGTCTTTAACTGGGCGCTGGCCGTTCTGATGGATACCGCAATACGAACTTTCCATTTTCGCCTCAGCTTTTTAGTTTTCATCGACTGCCATCGCGCCCTGCACATGCGCAACATTCGATACATTCCTGTCCTTTTCTTGAACTTTGCCGTTGGGGTTGGCCTTCCACTTTCACGTCAAACAAGTCAACATTATTCCATTTCTTATCAAGTTAGGAAACACATTGAGCTCAGTTAATGTAAGAGTTGGATCGGACTTCTATCAGGACCTTTGCTATACTCAATGAGAAAGAACAGCTATTTTCGGCACGCCGAACATTTTATACCCTCACACACAAATAGCAAAACCTATTCCCGATTGTTTAAATAGGGACGTTACTTTTTTTTTAGTATTTTGTTGAATTTTATATAAAAATATATATATTCTAATGTCTTTTTTTTTTTAATTTTATCCAGGCAAAACTGTTATTTAGGCTTATTTTACTTCTATTTTGATGATAAATAAAAAAAAACAATACAACATTTTCTGTTAAGGGTATATGTTATACACATATACATGCCTACAACTTATTTAAGAGCCCGATTACCTGTTTCAAATAAGATTATGGAATTCTCTTGCGCTCTCACTCCCTTTTCCTCTCTCTCTCTCTCTCTTTGGCTGTGTATAATGTGCAAAAGCGCGCCAATTTGTGTTTAGTGAAAAAGCTCAGCACCAAGAAATCTATATTCAAGTGCGAAGCACGGCTCAAAGACAGCCATGAAATATTTTAACAAAACACTTATGCACACATACACACCGTTAACATAAGTTAGTCGCGCCTAAGAACCTTTAGTTAAATCAACTTTATTAGAAAACGATTTTTAAAACCCGCGCAACGAACACAACCGATCTGCAGGACAGACGCCCACACACTAAACAGTAAGAGTGAAGAGCACACAAATATTATAGCTTCTGCGCTCACAACTAAGCTAACGGGATCAAAAGCGCTGCGACCAATGGCGTGCAAGCAGTGCACATTGCAATTGCCTCTCCTTGTCTAACCAACAGCTGCAGCCCATAACGTGTTAACAGTTGATGAATCTCTGCAAGAATCTGTCGCAAGTTCTTATCATGTGCTTAACCGTTATTTGGATTTATAATTCAGGTTTAATAGTTGGATCTTTGCAAGTTCAGAGGTCAATCGAGAGATCTTTTTATGCACGTTTTATAGCTGGAGTGAACAAATTTTGAGTAAAGATTGATATATATATATACATATATATTGGTTAAGTGGGCGTGGTTAATTGGCAAAATTGATAACATATTTGCATAGCTTTCTTTTTTTTATGTCTTTCATGATTTAACAGAATCTGGAAACTATAGCTTAGCTTCTATATCTATTCATTTTCTTTATGTATAAATGAGTTCAATTGCTGCTTTCTCAGCTGTCCAGCTGTGTGTGTGTGTGTGTGTGTTTGTTTGTGCCACGAAAGTGTGTGTCAGATGTCCATCAAAGCTGTCAGAGGAGGCCAAAGCTGGGCGCTACGCCAACAGTCAGCCTCGGTGGCATTGAAATTGGGATTAAAAACGGTTGCAAGTTGCGTGCTGGCTCAATTAGAATGCTTGTTGCCATTGTTTGCAGCTTGTTGTTGTTGTTGTTGTTTGCCAGGGGGTGAGGGGTCAGCGTTGTGCACATAATGAACATCAAGTTAGCAAACGCGTCGTCTGATTGATGTGCACACGTCAGCGCCAGGAAGCATAAATTCCAGACAAAGATGAGCGCTGAAATATGTAGAAACAAAGTGCGGTACGTTCCGGGCTGTGGCAAGGCGAGACGTCAAGTTGCCAGTTGCCAGTTGCCAGTTGCAGATACAAATTTATGTCATGTCCAGCATTTTGACAACCGGTTGGCCACAGTTCGCTGCAGCCAGAGACGCGGCACCTGTTTGACAAAAAAAAGCAAAGAGCATACTTGACATGGCTAACAAACTAATTTCACCGATCATCGAATTGCCGCTCCCGTGCCACACACACACACAACTGCGCTTGGTCTTTGCCCCTGGGCTGTGCGTGGCAGCGTTGACAGTCGGTCATAAATTTTTCGTGGAAAGCAGCAACATGGCAGACAGACATTTTCATTGTTCCAATCGAGAGACGACAATGCAACAAAATTGGGCGCAGATCAGGGAACTGTGCCGCAACCCACCCCAAAGCTGTTGTTGTTGTTGTTGCACTGAACTTTGAACTGCGAGTGCAATTGCCACCAGCCATAAATTGTATGTTTAATATCGCCTGCAACACTGTGTGGCAACTGACGTCGCAGCCTGCAACATACAAAAAAAAAAGAGAAATGAAGTATATAAAACAAAAATGGGTCAAAACGCAGCGTCAGGCAGCAGCGAAAATATGTTGACCCACATTCCAGGCGCTGCACGAAATTATGTGTATGTGTAAATGTATGTACATATGTGTGTGTGCAGGTAGTATGTGTGTGTATCTGTGTCAGGGCCCGGCCAGCCCTCAGCCACTAAACGCAAGTCGCCCATATTTATAATATGTATCATGAATAACAATTATGGACACACATTAAAAGATAATAGATATTAAACCAAGAAAATAATATTTAAGCTCAATTTAAGCTTAATTTGACTAAATTTACATTTGTAATAAAACGTTGTAAGTTAAAAAGAAAGTATAATTGCAAAAGCTTTATTTACGTTTACAAAAACAAGAGGTTCTAGTCGGGAGCTCCCGACTAGGGGATACCCTGAACCCTGTTGTTCCAATATCAAATATATATATATATATATATATGTTCTATTTTGGAAGCTATATGTCAAGTTTGGTGACTCTAGCTCTTATTATTTACCAAAATTGCGCAAAAAACAGGATATCGATATCGATTTTTATCGATTGCTTGGAAACGGAGTAAGTTATCGATTATCGGAAACAAACTCGATCTGCGCGGGAGCTAGGAACATCTACATCTGAAATTTCATTCTCTAGCTCTTATAGGTTCTGATATCCTTGCGTTCATACATACGGACGAACGGACGGACAGTCGGACGGACGGACGGATGGACAGACAGACGGACATGGCTAGATCAACTCGGCCATTGGTGCTGATCAAGAATATTTATACTTTATGGGGTCGGAGATGCTTCCTTCTGCCTGTTACATACATTTGGATTTCGCACAAATACAATATACCCATATACCCGTTTTTAATGGGTTCAGGGTATAAAAAAGCCAGCAATTGGAATAAGAAAATATATTTCTTATAAACTCTATTGGCACACAGGTCGATTTCTGGGTAAACAACCCAACCCAAACCCAACTCCAGGCCGGATGCCGTGTATTCCATCTCAATTGGATGCGCTAACGCTAACATCAAGGACAAATTCGCCGTGCCAAGGGCAGCCGCCAGTTACTTGACCCACTTTCTGGTTCTTTTATGCTTGCTGCATGTCAGGGCTGCTGGCAAAAACTGGGGCAGCCTTTGCTATTGCCCCCTACCCTGAAAACGGTGCTCAGTAATGAGCTTTGGCGCACACGCTTTAAGCTTTTGCGGTGCGGCAAGCTTTCAGTTAGCTTTTGTAGTAGGCTTTCCTCCCACCATTAGGGTTGCTCAGTGTACCAGTAAACATTTTTTCTATAAGCGCCAAAAAGTATGCAACACTTCTGAATGGACCAAATATCTTTTGGTACTCTTGTACAGGACCAACAAAATTGTTGACGAAAAAAGTTTAAACACATAAAACGGTAGATATTAGTTAAAAGGAGAATACAAAGTATTTCTATAAAAATGGGCAAAAAGTGTATTTTGTATTTGTGCGAAATGTAAATGTATGTAACAAGCCGACGCATAAAGTATATATCTTACAGCTATCTTTTACATTGTATCTATCTAAGATATCTGTTGTAACCTTTTCTTATTTTTAGATTAAGATTCTTTTATTTATAGCTGATATGCTAATACTGTAGCTTAACAAATTTTCATATTATGATTCAATATAGTATAGTATAATGATTCACGCTTATCTGCGGCAAATGATGACATGTACAATAAAAATAACAATAACGATTGTTATTAAAGGCCACAATATCCGCTGGTTAACTTGTTCTTCATAGCTGTGCGATTGGTAGCAAAGGTCCAGATACGATTTGGGCTTGCCAGTTTTATTATTTGCACACACGACGGTTGTCCTTAAATTCTGTAAAGGCAACACAAATACACGATTAATCTCTGCCCTTTTGTACATGATATCCATTTGCGTACGTTAGCTTGATTCAGGATTTGCTTATAGTTGGGATCGCTGCAATCGCACTTAAATGGATTGTAATGCATCGACGCCTTGCCTCGTATATTTATGCGCAGGAGTTCGTTTGGGTCAGAGAAGTTGTTGTGATCGAGAACCAAATGCCATAACTGTGGTAGACATTCCGCAATGCCAACGGGCAGCACTTCTATATTATTGTGTGATAGATCAATTTTTCTGGTGCTATTGAAATCGTGCAATAGTTCCTCTGGCACTGCTGAATAATTATTCCACCTCAGCCAGAGCTCGGTTGGGGCTCTCTTTCTCAAGCACTTAAAGTCAATGCTTGGTCGATTTGAGCAGTTCGCGACCCGCTCCACGGGGAAGAAGCAGCCGCAATCTAGTTCAGCTCTCCTCACTGAATTGAAGGACTCTACACTGGCACTCAAAATGAGCGCCAGGCTCAGAATCATCTTTGCCTGGAAGAAGTTCAAGCAAATGGAAGACAAATAACCAAATAAGCAAAGCGTATCAAAATATCATTACATTCATTTTTCACTAATATTATCAATGCAATATTATTTCTTGGTTGACTCAAAGCATTGTATAATATTGGCCCGTATAGTGTTAATAGCATACTGAGCCGTCGTACCGGGCTACCGAGTCAGTGTACATTGATTGATAAAAAAGAGACACGAGTACAAATATATAACAATAAGAGAAATTAATAGGAGACTTCGACTAGAAGATAAGCTAAATCGTGAAAAACGGTTGTGTGAAACTTTTTTCTGTATCATCATTTCCAACGATTTTTGTTCAAATTCATATTGGAAGTGTCATATTTTCCGGAAAATCCATGCATCCTTGATGGCAATGTTTTTGGTTCAAATTCAATTTCAAAGCCCTTTATAAAAATTCATTTCAACATGAAAATATAATGAATATTCCTGCTAAATTTATCTTATGACGTTGAGTTCACGATAATACGGGTAGATTTAAATTTTTCATATGTATGTGTGTATGTATGCATGTATGTATGCATGTGTGTCTGTATGTATTCATGTATGTATGCATGAATGTATGTATGTATGTATGTATGTGTGTCTACATGATGTATGTGTGTATGTGGGCGTGTCTGCATGTATTAATGTACTAAAGTATGTTTGCATGCATGCATGTATGTATGTATGTGGGCCTACATGATGCATGTGTGTATGTATGTATGTTTATGTTTATGTGTGTATGTGGGCGTGTCTGCATGTATTAATGTACTAATGTATGTATGTATGCATGCATGAATGTATGTTTGTAAGTATGTGCGTAAGTATGTATGTATGTATGTATTTATATATGTGCACATTACTTACTTACAAAAGGGTGTTCGCTTACTAATCGGTAGCTGCAAGTTCTACAAAGCTTATACTCACAATCAATTGATATGTATTTCTTCGGTATAAGATTGCAAAGATAGTGTGTTTTTGGCTAAGAGAATCGTTCGAAATTCACAAGTATTTGTATTTGATAACAAGCCGCGATATGTTATCAAATGGAATTTTAGTTACCATCTACGGATATGTCGCCTACGCGATTAGTTTGACAAGGGAATTTGCGCTGGTTATTAGCAATTTTCAAATGTTATGCAGTGTCCATATATGGACATATATGGTATATATGATCTTCGTGTGAACATACTTAATTACATCACTTCACATACATATGTGTATGTCGGCGCGTACTGAGTGTGTGTGTATTTCACAATAATTGGTATTTCTTATCGATCTTATCCGCGTCCTTATTCAAATCCTTCTTTCTAGGCTTCTCATCTACCAACCGCAGAAGTTTCAGCGCACTCTGAAAAGATCGTCCCTGAAGCTATGATCGTACAGTCTATAGTATTTATCCCGGAATGCGATCTGTCGCTCACAAAGGCGCCTTTTCAACTCTCGGAGCGGAACTTCCGTTGGAATATTTAGCTCGTAGGCCTTCAGTTCCGACTTGACTTTTATGCATACCCAAGCCTCTCCTCCGCAACATTCCTTTCCCCTCCTATGCATTCCTGTCACATCCAACCCATATTTTACCACACTTTCCTTTAAACTTTGCTCTCTATCTTTCTCTCTCTCTCTCTCTCGCTGGTGAATTTAGTCATCCAGTCCTTTGGCAGATTGCTTCCCCCGTTGCAGCAATTCCTGCATGATGTCGTGCTCCGTCCCAGGATTTCTTTCGGCACAATCGGCTATGCAACCATCGGCTCTGCTTTTCAATCTTTTGAGCCACTTTTAGCGATATGGAGCTGCACTTGGACTCACTGATGCCCGATTGCATGGATTTCCTACGAGTTTGATGGAGCGGAGTAATCGCGGCGTTCCCTGCCAGTTCAGTACAGTTCTTGAGAACTGTAGATACTGCTGAGCCTTACCCTGCTGTAATGAATACTTCTCAAGTTCGATCGATGTTCAACCAATAGAATCTTCCAATCAGCAGATTCGCTACCGAAACCCAATCTGACAGTTGCTCCGCAGCAATGATTAGTATTCAACAAACGTATGCTACAATCACTTAGTAATACCAACAAAATAACTCACGGCAATACTTTCTTTTAGCAAGAAGAAAAAACAATTCCTTACCCAGGCTAACCAATTTTTCGAACAAACATTTGACTGGCGAATGTCATCCAAAGGACGTTATATTGTAGACTATCGCAGCTTTTGTCGCACTTTCTTATAACCTGAACCCTTTAAAAATGGATGTAATGTATTTTTGCAAATGTATCTAACAGGCAAAGGGAAGCAGTCCACATATATATTCCTGATCAGTATCAGTAGTATCGGAAACTCCCAACTAGAGACTCATACATGTTATACATGCATTTATTGTAATAACTTATAAACTTTTAATATTTATGCCCATTGCAAAACGGTATGAACGAGCTTACCTTTTACAATTTGATGCTCTCCATATTAACATCGATAAATTATTTATTTATTTTTCAATTTTTTTTTTATACCCTGAACCCATTAAAAATGGATATATGGGTATATTGTATTTGTGCAAAATCCAAATGTATGTAACACGCAGAAGGAAGCATCTACGACCCCATAAAGTATATATATTCTTGATCAGCATCAATAGCCGAGTCGATCTAGCCATGTCCGTCTGTCTATCCGTCCGTCCGTCCGTATGTATGGAGCTAGAGACTTGAAAGGTGTAGATGCTCCTAGTTCCCGCGCAGATCGAGTTTGTTTCCGATAATCGATAACTTACTCCGTTTCCAAGCAATCGATAAAAATCGATATCGATATCCTGTTTTTGGGAAATTTTTGTAAATAATAAGAGCTAGAGTCACCAAACTTGACATATAGCTTCCAAAATAGAATATATATATATATATTTGATGTTGGAAGTAGAGGGTTCAGGGTATCACCAGGTCGGGAGCTCCCGACTAGAACCTCTTACTTGTTTAAATTTATTATTATGTTTTATCGTGAATGTGTAACGCATAGATGGAGACATCTCCGACCCCATAAAGTACATATATTCTTAATCAGTATGCTGTTGCTCGCAGTCGGAGCCGGCTTCATCGGACAACTACATATATCATAAAGCTGCCATTGGAACGATCGGTCGAAAATTAAGTTGTTCTATGGAAAACTTTATGTTTTCAAGATATGTCTATTAACCGTACTCGGCATTAACTATTTGTGGTTCATAGATAAGGGCTTCTTCTTTATGCAGTGTTGTATAAATCCGTTCATAACAGATGTTTTTGTGGCAATGTCGTATGTAGGTTGAAGTAACATTCGACCAATTCTTTCTAGAAAGATACCTACCTTCTAACGACCCATATAAATAAATATATATATATATATATATATATATATATATATCGTACAGAGAATGGATCGTTAGAAGGTAGGTATATTTCTAGAAAGAATCGTTCGGAATCGGAAAGAATATATATATATATCATATATATATATATCTATATAAACAACATAGTTCGCGTTTTCAGCAGCAAAGCCATTGCAGTATAAAGTTAATATATCTTACTTGATTATTAAATTCTTCCACGATGGAGTCCGGCGACTTTACAATTTCTTCGTTCAGCGTAATGACTATAAGAATAAATGTTCATCGAAATGCGACCTTTAAAAATACCAAATCCCAAATAATAATAACTGTTAGTAGTATTTAAAGCTCGCTGTCTTTGATATACCAAAAATTGAATTAAACCTAATACTATATTAATTCAATATAATATATATAATTCTATGTGTTCAACCCATTTCAATATTGGATATTCCACTTGCAGCTGTGGAACATTGGTGGAAGTTTTCCACCTTTTTGCTAATAATCGGCTTAGTTACAAATATATTTTCAAAAATCTTTGCGAAAATATATTTAATATTTTTCACAATATTTACGGCGCTTGAATGGAATATGCAAAGAATAAACTATAGAAAGTTTATTTTTCGAATTAAAGATAATATATATATAATATTATTTGTAAAAAAAAACTGTTCTCATTAGCACCGGTGCGAAATGTGTTCTCAATGATGACTAGAAAAGACAGTAGTAACAGCTTAGCGACTCTATTCTCTATACCCAACCAATATACCCTTTTTAACCATTTTTTGAGGGTACAAAAAGCAGAGCGTGCCGACTGGTCGGCCACCAGTGTAAGCTACACTATACGATAAGCAACAGCAAGCAGTGCAAGCAGGTTGTTGTCTGTGCTAAGTTTCAAGCAGTGCTCTGCTCACAACGAGCTAAAATTGTATGAATTTGTTTTATTTGGTTTATTTGAAATCCATTTGTTTATTTAATAAGTGGGAGATTGTGACAACTGTATCTAGGTTTAATTTATTCCAGGCAGTAGAGCAAGCAGTGTAGCATTTGTTGTTAACAAACAACTAGCGAGTGCTTGAGACAACGACTGTTTCTCTCAAGCTCAGCGGGTGCACGAAGTGCGCAAATGCGAATCCTTTGAATGCTCCTGACTCGGCAAAGAGTCGCTGCCGGCGTTGACGTCGCCAGCGCTTCTCATGTCGACTTCGCGAAGCTGACGCCACCCGCACACACACACACACACACACACACACGTAAGCACATAGACACCTACACTTGAGTCCTGTGCGGAGTCGGGTCCTTGTCTCAGTTTTGGACAAACACTCCGAGAGGCACGTCAGGGCCCAGCGTTCGCGCTTCTCGTCTCGATTCAGTGTGTGTTGTGTTGTGTTGTGTCTGTGTCTGTGTGTGTGTGTGTGCCCGCGCGTGTGTTTGCCAGCGAAAAGCCAGAAAAGGCTAACAAATTCCCTAGTCTATGGCAAATTCTGTGCTGTAATCGGCGGTACATTGTGCACAAAACAAACAACAACAACAAAAATCTTCAAATTTGACCAGTGAAGCAACAACAACAACAACAACAACAGCAACAAATTTGCCAAGGGGGCAACAATGCGCGGAGCAGCGCGATTTCAACTGTCAAAAGTTAGTTAGATACTTGGCTGCATTTTTTTTTTTTGCCACAGTTAGTGCTAGCCGCAAAAGGCGTGGCATGGGCGGCTATGTGCAAATATATCTATATGTGTTTTATACAAATTTAGCAACAATTATTTGCGTCAGCAGCGAGCAGCGATAAAAAAAGAAAGAAGAGTCCAACACAAAGTCTAGCAAAATCTGTTCTCTGACCATTTGGCAGACTTGTTCTGTCATGACATTACTCATACGCCCTGTGCCCAGTTGAAAGAACTCAACGCACGATGCAGGACATATACATGAATGAAATCATCCGAAATACATGGCAGCACACGCAAACACGTGCATGGCATGTATGTCATGTGCGTGTGCGTGTGTGTGTGTGTGTGTGTTTGCTAAAATTGTGAAATGTGTTCCAAACTCCCGCAACAAAAACAAACTGTGTGTGTGTGTGTGTGGGTGCGTGTGTGTGTATGTGTGAAAGTGACCAACATTTAGAGTCACGCAAAGCTGCAATAAAAACAAAAATGCTCAAACTGAATATGAGGGTAAATAGTGGGTGTCATGCGGACAGGCCCAAAAAGTGAATAATTCGAATGGAAGAGCATAGCGAAAGATTGTCCAGGCAATGGAAAATAAAATTGCAACCAACAAAAGCAACAAGATTAGAAATAAAAAAAACATAAATAAAAAAAATAAATAAAATGAATAATTAAAATTAGAAGATAAAATAGTACCAAAATAGCACCAGCTGGATATATTTTTTAAATTTAATTTTATTTTATTCTTATTTTTCTTCTATATTTATATTTTTATATAATTTTATTTTTATTTATTTGATTATTTTTATTTATTTCATTAATATTTATTTTTTGTATTATATTATTATATATTTTATTATTTGTATTTATTTATTAATTATATTTATATCTATATTATTTTAATATTATTATTGTGTTATATTTATATTCCTTTTTATTATTTATTTTATTTTATTAATTTAATTTTTTTCTAATGAATATTAGTTTTTATTGTTATTTTTTTTCTTAATATTTTTATTGCTCATTTTATTATTTTATTTATTATATTTATTTATTTATTACATATTTTATTTACTGTTTTTAACTGTCACAAGCATTAAGCAAACAAATAATTCTTTTTATTTATATTTAAATAGTTTTGAAGTGAATTTCCTCTTTTCGCGACAAGTGTTGAAATGAATAATTGTGAAAACAGTGTTGTAAAGCAGTTTATAAATCAAGCATTGCCTGTCATCAGCTCTTGTTATAATTAATACTTTCTTTTTTGACTAGAGCCAAATAAACTAGGTGATGGGCTATCAGAGCAGAAATTTTCATATATTTCAATAAAAATAAAAAGGCGATTTTCATTTAGTTTAACTGACTAGCGCCTACTTAGATTGTTTCAGTGTACGCTGCTGAATTAGGCGCAGTTTTTGGTGGTCAACAGACATTGAACATTTTGTGGGAACTATAATAAATCAAGCATATCTGGTATTTTTTTTTTTTTGTTGAACTTGAGCGTGAGTCGAAAAAAATGCAAATAAATTGAAAAATAATAACAACTATGGCAACAACATTAGATTGTGCCGCACAAAATGTGTAGCATAAATAATTCCACCCATAAAAAGAAAAAAGAAAGATTACACAGTCACTGGGGCGACACACTAAAAAGAAAGTCACACAGTTTGCTCGCGACGTCGACGCTGACGTTGACGCTGACGTCGCTGCCAACGTTGGCAGCGTCCTTTTACGGGCGCTGCTCTCTCGCACTCGCTAGTTTACTCGCTGCTCGCTGTTTGCTCTCTTGTCAAACTAACCTACATCAACAGCTGTCAAGTGCGGCGCAAGCATAAACCGCAATTTGTTAATTGCCGCCCTTCCCATTGTTCATGTTCTTGTTGTTGTTCTGCTTCTTCTTTTTCCAGTGCCAACAATAATATCAACAATAGCGGTGAATTAACGGCAATAACAATTAGAAACAACAGCACAAGTACTAACTGTATAATGCAAATGTCAAAGCTGCCCGCGACGTTAATAAAAAGCAAAGCAAAAATAAAAATCAACTCATACAACACAAATGAAGACGCTGCCGAGCGTCTTCCTTTCGCCGTCTGACTGACTCTGTCTCTCACTCTCTCGCATTCTCTCTTACTATCTTGTGCGCGCTATCTCTGTCACACACTCGCTGTCTGCCTGCCTATACACAACCCCTGCCCATTAGGTACTCACGCGCGCGCTCTCTGTCTATCTTTCTCTCTCTGTCTGTCTCACCCACCCACTCTCGCTCTCTCGTGATTTGTAACGCTTTCTGTGGGCAGCGAGTGTGAGGCTTGGTTGGTCAAACAGCTGTTTATCCGGTCTCCTTCTGCGTCGACGCGTGTGTACATAACCTCAATCATCAAAAAGTTTGTCTCGCGTCCGCTGCGTACTCGTGCCGCTCTTGGATGTTGCGGTAGGCAGCGACGCCTGCCGCTGCCAACGCAACGTCCGCGTCAGCTTCGACGTACGCTGCAAGTGTCCAGCTTTCTTCATTTCGCTCTCTCTCTCTCACGGTTTGTCGCTCTGCCTGCTGCCAAATTGAAGAGTGCAACACCGACGACAACGACAACGACTAACCCTAGGAGCAGCTCTCAGGCCCAGCCGCAGGCTTTGGCTGGTGCGGGTGGTGACGTCGCTGCAGCTGCAGCTGCTGCTGCGACGCCAACGCCGACGGCGACGTCAGCGTCAACGCAAGCAACAACAAAAGGGAAAACAGTAACAGCATTAACAACAGCAACAACACCAGCAGAAGCAGCAGCAGCAGTAGCAGTAGCAGCAGCAGCAGCAGCAGCAACAATCAGCAGCAACATCAGCGCCCTGGGTGCACCGACAATAATATGAGGAGTGGCAGTTCGGAATTACTACTCGAGCAGCAACAACAAGAGCTACGGTTACGTAAAATCCGAGAACTGGCTCCAAAAAAGAAAAATGGCAATCGGCGCTTTCGTTCGTGGCGGGAACGTGCGCGTTTCTATGGCACCTCCACACTCGCCTTTTTCTCGGTGACGGCCGGCGCATCGCTGCTGTTTCTGGTGCCGCTCTATGTGGATCCAGCCATATCGACACTGAGCCACGATTTTATCGAGAATCCAACGTTGTGCACAACAACGCGTCGCGAGGATCTTGTCGGCATATTCAATTGCTCGTGGAGCTCCTGTCGCGAGGGCTGCACCTCCGATCTCTATCGCTGTGTGCACATATATGTGACTTTTATTGAACAGAACATTACGATACCAGAGAACATGACCGACTATACCAACTACACCGCCGAGTGGGAGCAGTCCGGTGAGGCCACATTGCTGGTCAACATTAAGGGATGCGGCTATCCGCCCACTGTCACGTGCAAGAACTTCAATATGTATTATGGCGTCGAGGGCGCCATCTATCCGTGTTTCTATTCGCGCAAAAACAAGACCGTCGTCCTCACATCCTACAATCATGACGATCAGGAGGCCATCATCATTCATTTTTTTGTGGTCCCCTTTGTGATAACGGTCATCTCATCCATCGCCCTCTGCATCATGCATTGCGATTGCCGCTGTAAAAAGGATCGCAGCCATCGGCGCAATCGTCCGCAGTGCCGCCGGCCACGCATTGAGAATCTCAGGTATGTACGCCCACAATCCTATCGCTTAGCATTGGAGCTTAAGTTAAATAAACAACTGCCTCTAAAGTTAGATTAATCATTGCACAAAAAGAAATTAATAATTAAAATTGATTATCTTAATAAAAGAAACTTAGAAAAGTGATTTACAATATTTCAAGAGGAAACTTTTCCCAAGGATATTAAACTTGTATGTGAGAAAGATTATTCGATACTCAAAACAGTTAAAAGATGTAATTCATAATTTTTTTGTTATTTCATTTAAATATTTTTTAATTAGCTGTTATGATAATTCCTTACAAATGTTTATTAATTTTAATTTAATTTTTTAAGTATATAATAATTTTTTTTTTATTACATTTCTTGTTTTATTTATTTATTATTTATTTTATCTATTTTTTACAAAAGTTTATATATATTTCGAAAATTTCATGTAATTAATTATTTGTTTATTTTATTTAAGTTTTATGACATTTTTACTTTTTTCACTAAGAAACTTTTGTTTAATGTTTATTTAAAAATTCAATTTTTTAAGTAAAGAATTCTTTATTTATTTTCGTTAATTTTTTTCTGGCATTTCTTGCTTATACACAAAAACATATTTTTGTTTACAAATGTTTATGCATAAATTAATTATTTATTTTGTAAAAATGTTGATCACAATTATGAGTTTCTTAGAAAATGCTTCTTAAAGATTTGTATGCCAATTAGCTGCCATTGATTCGATTGATAAAACATGATTTGATTGCACAACGTGATATTAGTTGTTTAAGCCCTGTAAGTTGACGAAAGTACAGCCTTGATTATCAACTGTCAAGACGAAAGTTGCAGAGCTTATACCTAAGTAGGCTAATGTACAAGAACATCTTTTAACTAGTCGGGCTCGAGTTTGAGTTAATTTGCATGCATCGTCAAATTGAGTTTCAGTTGACTTCAGGTTCCAAGCTCATTTAAATTAATTAAGTTTACAAAAGTTTGCCAACTTGTAGTAAGCTCTGGAACTGTACTGAACTGTACCTGAAGCAGGTGCCACTCACCTGCCCCATCCAATTGCAATAAATGTGTTGTTGCTGTCCATTATTTGTTTGGTTGGCCTCGACTCGAGATTTAAATAATTCAATAATGACACATTCGACGAAATTGGAAGCCAGCTTTATTGTTTGGAGTAATGAGTGGGCTGTATTATTTATAAGTCCAAGTGTCACATGCATGTCTGCGTCTGTGTGTATGTGTGTGTGTGCCACAGATAATACACGCCCAACAGGCACGCATTAACTAGCAGGAAAGCACGCACCACGCTGCGTATGATTGATTTGTTGAGCTGTTGACAAGTCGACTCTCGATTGAGTTTCGGGCTTTATTTGCTATCCACAGCGCTGCTCCTTTGATTATACACATGTGAATAAGTGCGACAATAACAATTACATTTATCATTGGAACATATTAAAAACAAACAACCATATTTATAGTGCGCTCCGGCAAAGCTATTGATTCGTAATTATAGTCTTTTTGTGGCATTCTTTTCCAGTGAGCTAGTAAGCTTTATACTTGTCTGAGCGCACTGTGGCTCAATTTTGCATATCCAATTGCAACTTTACATTGACGCAATCGATAATAAATTGGTCTGTCCGGACCCTTTGCACATGTGCATCTGCATTATTCAATTGGGCCGAGTCAGTTTCACATGCTCAGGCACGAGCAGGCAATCGAGCCATGCAATCAATGCTGCCATTGTCTTTCAGGCTGAGGTGAGCTGCCTTTTGGATTGTTTACCTCATTGTTTGTGGGGCACGTGCCCTATCAATTAGTAGCCGAATGAGCATTATGCCCAGCTAGATTTTCGTTTATCTGCCCAATGGGCTTATGCCGAACAATAGAGGCCGATGACAGCATGTGTTATGAGTTAATAGGCCTACATTTTCAGCATATTTCAGTTTAAAGCACAACATGTTGGTCGGATGACCGTTCAACTAACTTAATAGCCCGAGCTAGCTGTTTATTTATTTCATGCAAATGTGTGTAATAGGTAGGAAACATCTTCGGCCATATAAAACGTATATATTCTTGATCAGCGTTAATAGACGAGCCAGTCTATCGATATCGATAACTTGATTTTTTCTTCACTTGAAAGAAACATACTTTCAGTTTGTTTTTAGCTGTGTTTTGATTTTAAGCTATGTTTGCTAAGGAGTCTTCGAGGAACCTATCACGTTTCTATTTAGTCTGAAATTTCCATTAAATCTGAAATCAAATTTATCAAAATACAATTCTCGACAAATCAAAACAAGTAAGAGGTTCTAGTCGCGAGCTCCCGACTAGGGGATACCCTGAACCCTCTTCTTCCAACATCAAATGAATATATATATTCTATTTTAGAAGCTATATGTCAAGTTTAGTTAGTCTAGCTCTTATTATTTACCAAAATTGCCTAAAAAACAGGATATCGATATCGATTTTTATCAATTTCGTGGAAACGGAGTAAGTTATCGATTATCGGAAACAAACTCGATCTGCGCGGGAACTAGGAGCACCTACATCTAATTTCAAGTCTGTAGCTCCTATAGGTTCTGAGATCCTTGCGTTCATACATACGGACGGGCGGACGGACAGACAGACGGACATGGCTAGATCGACTCGACTATTGATGCTGATCAAGAATATATATACTTTATGGGGTCGGAGATGCTTCCTTCTGCCTGTTACATACATTTGGCTTTCGCACAAATACAATATACCCTTATACCCATTTTTAATTGGTTCAGGGTATAAACAACTATTTATTATTACCCTGCTCACATACTTATTAAAAAAAGTAAAATGTTTGCAAAGATCTCTTAACAAAAATGACAGCCAAAGTATATTGAACAAAGTTTTCATTGTCTTCGAGCTTTTCAGATATATTTATGCTAAACAAGGTGAGGTTTATGGCAGGTGTCGCAGCCCGCAATCTTTCCACCGTAAAAAAGGCTAAAAAGAAATACGCATAATTTAGCTTGTTTTCAACGGAAATCACTAATAAAAACAGTTGAAAAAGAGCTGTTGAAAAGTTGCGAAACCAACTGGCGTCAGCATGTGCCATTGTTAATGCTATCTGTGAGATACACACACACACAGACACACACACACACGCACACAGACGCACTCCTACACTCATGTGGCATAAGCACGTGGATGTAGAGTTGTGTACATACATATATGTTACATAATCTGCTTACCTTTCGTCGCAGTCTCGCTGACTAGGAATAAAAATAATTCTAGTTAGTTTTGTAAAGGATTTGCAGCATATCATGTGCATTGCAGTCCTTTGGAATTATTAGAAAAAATATTAAAATGCAGCTTAGGCTACAAATGAAAGATTTTGTTGAAGTTGAAACTCTTTAGCTTGTGCCTGAAATTAGCAATTCTTAAGACAAGTCAATCATCTGGTTTGGCAAACTTGCAAAATTGCAACCCATGAAGCATGAGAATACTCCACTCAACTCAGCTCTTCAAACTCTTAACAAAGCAGCATTCCAAGTGCTGTTCTGGGCTCAAACGGTTGGCGGACCTGCTTCGCGGCTGCACCCAAAGTGGCCTACTTAGCCTGGCCAACTGCTGCTCCTGTGGCTGCTGCATGGCAGCCTCCTGTCGCTTGCTGCGTGCGTGTGTGTGCCACTTTTCGCAGAAAAGCGTGTTTCTTTTACTTACGAAAAAAATAAACGAGAAAGTACGCATAAAGCACTAAGCACACCGAACATTTGATGCTCTTGCATACATTTTCCTTACGGGATAGTGAAACTTGGGTATGGGAAGTTTGATGAAAATATATTGGAATACAGAATCTATTGATATACAAAAATTCATTCTTCAAACGATCTTTCCTATAGTGCTATATAATATAGTAGTGCGGTCTTGATTAGACCCGACACACGTATAAGCAGCATAGTTGTAATAGTAAATGCCGAGTTAGGTAAAGATACAAGAGTTTTTCTTATTGAAGCCGATCGTTCGACCGATTGTTCCTATGAAAACTATCTTATGAAGTAAACCGATGTTGATAACATTTTGAGAAGCATAGAGAAACTAATTAATGCCGAGTTATAATAATCTAATCCGTTGGGTTCCGACATTTGTACTGCCTGCATAGACAGACGGATATATGCAGAGTTTACAAATGATGGCTTTAAAACTGAAAGACTAGTTCGCATAGAAACAAACAAGCAGACAGACAGACGCACAGATGGACGAACGGGCGGACAGACGGACATGGCTGTATCAACTCGGTTGAAGCTGATCTAGAATATATATACTTTATAGGGTCGGAGATGTCCGCTTCTATGCGTTACACACTTCATGACAAAATTACAATGCCCCCAAATTGGTATACAAAAACTCAACTTCTTTGGCGCACAAGCAACTTAGCTGCAACGACTAAGTTAAAGTCACGTCTTCTACATATTTAAATTTCTCTTTAGGTTATGAAATAAATATACATTGATGCACGTATAAAGTAAATTATATTTTATTATTTATATTGTATTTAAAATGTCGTTTATCTAAAACAAACGCAGCTCAAGCCCAAGAACTATACTTTAATTAAGTGCCGGCTTTGAGTCCTTGAGCTTGTCTCGTTTTTTATTTATTTATTTTTTTTCAGCCAGCAGCAATCTAATCACAATCATTTTAGGCTTCATTATTGTTGAAATGACGCCTAGTTGTGCGCAGGCTGCGTTTTCCAACGCTCTGTCACGTATTTGTTATTTTTTTCTCTTTTTACTCAAGCTCGTGCAAACAATACAAGCATGAAAATGCGGGGCGCTTTTATCTTTTGGGTTCAAAACGGCAGCCAAAGAAAAAAAGGCTGCTATTGTTATTTTTATCAGCCACATGGCGAACTACTACTTCTAGTATATGGTATATGTTGGAGGCTGCGTCTGTATGTGTGTGTGTGTGTGTGTGTGTTTATGTGTGTTTATGTGTGTGTGTGTGTGGGGCATCTGGCATCATATGTGCGAAGGACATCG